TAATGAGTTAAGATCACAGTAGATGGGTAATTTGAGATTGCAGAGCAATCTCGTTTTAATGAGGTGATAAACAGTCCACCATTGTCAAAATCAAAAGATACAGCTGGATCTATGGTCTATTAGGGAGTTCGTTTAGCTTTAAGCTTAGTTCTTTGCATCACTTTTTCGATCAGGACATTAAAATTAGCTTAGCTTGAAGATTGGCTACCAAAAATGCCAAAGGCTCAGCAAAACAAAAATTATTAAAGAGTCTTGAAAAAAGGCAAGATACAGGCAGAGCATTTAGTTCCTTAATCAACTATGTGATTTTTTCCTTACTTAATTTGACGAATCGTGCATTGCTCACTGCGATGGATTTGAAATATACTGTTAATGACGTGTAGAGTCGCGATTATTGTCCGTCGTACTCGTGGATAGCCCTTTGACACACTACTCGACACTACCCGACACTTCACTGTCAAACTGACAGATATCAGACATCTGAAGTCACATCACTCAAGCACAAGTCAGATGTCTGAGATGAGACTTGCCACATTTGATTATTTTACTTGAGAAAAAAATATCATATGTTATTAACAATCGTTTTAAATCGTTATTTTTATGTAATGTCAGTTTTTAACATTAAACGACTTTAAAATAAAACTCATTCTAAATGTGAGAAGTGACCGTTAAATTATATTATGAACAACCTCATTTACAATTGTAGAATATAGAAATATAACGTAACGTAAGATAAATATAACGGCTTTATACTTGATTGTTCACTAACCAAGAAGTAGCTTGTCATAGTTAACTTTGTATTTAACGGTGAATTAGCTAACGGTCAGCAAGTCCTGACATTGCGGGAGAACAAGTATTGAAATAATTAAAAACAGCAAGTAACACTTGCATTGAAATTTGAAATTTAGTATTTGCATAAAGCAAACGTACACATATGTTATAATATCTTAACTCCATTCGAGGATCTGGTTTTACTGTATAAACACACCAGATCCACCAGATTGGATACAAAACAAAACCAGACGTCTCAAAGCAAAGTTGCAGTTTCAACCATATTTTTACTGTGCATTTTGTTAATAAAACTTTTTACTTATTTATTTAGTTTGTTTGCGTAGAGGTCAGACGGCGCGAAGTTTGTATACTCGTATTGGGTCGGTAATAAATGCAAAAAAAACACGAGGAAGGACAACTTTAAAGAATTAGATACTGGAGAAAAATTCTCCAATGTGTAAAATTCTAAAATAAATATAATGAAATTAAAAAGAAGAATGAAGAATGTAAAAATTATATAAATTGTGTTTTAAGAATGTCTGAGTCAATTATCATTATCTCGATTAAAATTCATCAACCGGGATCAATTCCTCGCGCTCTTCAATGGAAGGAAATAATTCCGAAATATCCTTCAAAAATCTCAAGATTGAAAAGAATGGACAGCAGGATGTAGCTACTGATCTTATCATAAGCGACCAAACACTATTAAAACCAGTATCATGGTTTTGCTTTCTTCTTATTTTTTTAACATGCCTGTCACACAGAACATTGCAGAACATTGTGAGATTAAATTACAATTTAAAAAGACTAAGTTCTTGGTTTACAAATCGTGAAATTTATTTTTAAATGCAGAACACAAAGTAAGAATAAAAATTTGGATCTTGAGAGAAATGAGTGCAGCAAATTTAGAATTTACGAGAAATATCAATGTTGCGATTATACATATTATAAGTTGTGTAAATCGGGTATTACTCGCAAAACTAATAAGTAGCTTTTTGATCAAATAATGATAAAAGAGCTATTGCTTGAACATGAGCTGTTTTCCTCTTTGTGACAGAAGATTAAGTAAGAAATAGAGAAAACCAAAACGTATGTATAACTAAAGACGGCCTGGAAAAAAACAAGCATAATAGAAGGCATGTTTGATGTGCTGTGAAAAATGTACATACATTTACATAAAAGAGACACTTTCAGAAGTCAAAGGTGCAAACTACTCCTTATCATAAATAAACTAGGCAGAGCCTGTGCTATGGTAAACATATTTATTTATTTCCAAATACATACATATTATAGATAAATTACACAAAGATAACAAACTGTCGTGCTCATCCTACAATTATTTGTCCTGGCTGGGAATCGAACACACGACCTCTGACTTGGCATTCACGGCCACCAAGCACTAGTCCAACAAGCCCGCCATTATGATACTACTTTTATAATATATTATATAATATATTCTTTGAGCGATTTACTACGCTCTTATTAGTTGGTAAGTAAGTGTGCTTACGTGCGATAAAAGCGTGCATATTGTTATCAAAACAATAAGTAACTCAAGATTCTGTTTTACCCTCAACCAGTATTATTTTATTGTAAAAGTAATGCCAGACTGTGTGTAACATACCCTATTGAGAGCTTCCTAATTTTTTTGAAGTCGGCTAGAAGATATCTTAAATATATATTATTAGATTAAGTGATTATTGTGATTGAATAGTTTATTGATAAATACTGCATATATTAACCATTGTTTATGAATAATCCACGAATAAATGAAACCTTTGATGAACTCGCAGCGGTAGCGTTTACGGGTGAAAACATTATTACTCACAATGCAAGCACGTGAAGTGTGTGACACACAAGCAGCGTTTTTATTTTTAGGTTAAACAATGGATTGGAACGAAATTGTTTACTTTTACAATACCACGGCTTGTTGAATAGCTATTTAAGTCGTTATATTGTTTAACAAGTCGTTGTTGACCAAGGCTCATTGAAGTTAGATAATACTGATTTTTACAGATTTGCCCTTTGTATATGACAGGAGGCAAGGTCAACGACATGCTCTGCTCCTGACGCTTTAACAGTTTTGCAAAACGTGGGACGATCTATAATAGTCGTATATGTATTATTTGTAAGATAATGTTTTGAAGTGTTAAGCATGTTTTTGTTGATGGTTAGTACCTATGTTCTTTAGTTTACGTGTTAATTTTGGCAAGCGGTGAACATAAGGCAAGTAGACTAAACGTATATTTATTTTATAACTTTATGCACTTTTGTAAATCAGCGGACTTAGTATTGAAGGCATTCTCTGCCAGTCAATACCACAAAGTTCAACCCTGAAGATACTGTTTTTGCGATTTCAATGCATAAGGACTTTGTTTAAACCATTGTAAGTATGTAGGTACTAACTTTATGAGTTTTTTTTGTTTAACTTATCGATGCCAAACTCGCAGTATTTATAGTCTCTATTAAAAATAATAATAATTAGACACCTATTTTTTTTTACTTTTCACTACGTAAGTATGTTTGTTTCCCAATCACGATAAAACGGCTTTCCGGATCTGGACCAGATTTTTCACATAGATAGATTATAGTCTAAAATGGCACAGAGGCTACTATTTATCACGGTTACATTTGAAGACAAAATTGGCAAAAGCTACTTATAAAGTATAGGAAATTTTGTTTTCAAGTAGATTTCCCCCCATTTACTTATGGCATGAATTATGTACTTTTTATAATTACTTTGTTTAAAATGCGAATTACCGATGCCGATAGTCTCGCAGTTATTTTGCTTTGTTACATACTTACTTTATAATTAAAATGTTCGCACAAAAATGAGATAATACACGATTATTTACGATTATAGTTTTCGGAAGGTTGTAGTACTCATTTCCTGATTAAGTAAGTTTACGGCAAAATTCCCTATGTATCCAATTGATAATCATTGAATAATTATAATGGCCTTTGTAAGTTATGCATGATGAACAATGTCAGCTGGTTCATAAATGTTTACGTAATAATTACCTCAGCAGCTGAAGTTGTTAGTAGGTCATAAAAATGTTTAATTTCAGAAAGAAATGATTACAAACAAATGAAACGAAGTAACCTTACATGCTCATTCTAGTTTCTGTCTGTCTGTGACCCAATTAATAATTTCGGCACTTTCGGCAAGTAAGAAAATAAAAAAAGATACGATTTGTACCGTGTGTTACATGACGGAGAGAAATAGTTGCGTAATAAGTACTTTAATTTTTTGAAGAGAATGAATAAAACAGACTGGCCAGAACAGAATTTCACGATTTGTAAACAACAAATTTAGTATTTTTCAATTGCAATTTAATCTTGCAATGTTCTGTGTGACAGAAATACGAGTATTAAAAAGATATAAGAAGAAAGCAAAAACATGGTACTGGTTTTAATAGTGTTTGGGCGCTTAGGATAAGATCAGTAGCTACATCCTGCTGACCATTCTTTTCTATCTTAAGATTTCTGAAGGACATTTCGGAAGCATTTATTTCCATTAAAGAGCGCAAGGAATCGATACCGGGTGATAAATTTTAGTCTAGATAATGAAAATTGACTCAGACTTTCTAAAAACTCAATTTATATAATATTTACATTTACTTCTTTTTAATTCATTTTAATATATATATTTTTGAATTTTACGCTTTACGCCTAGTTAACTAAATAAATTAACATTTGACTCAGCAGACCAGGTGATAATAGAACCAAAATAAAATTAGGTCCGGCAACTAAGGTAATGATTTAGCATATCAACGGTCACCCTGCTAGCTTCTGCCCGCCAATACCTATAATATACATTGGAAAATGGGTTCAATGCGAGCAACACCACGGGCAAAATATAATATGCACAGCACAGCCTGAAGGGGAGAGGGTCACAGGGGACGCGGACCTGCCCCGCCCCCGATCGTACATGTCAAATTCCAAAATCAAAAAAATTACGAAAATAAAAAAACAATTGTAAAGCGATACTAACTGCGAACTATGCGAACTATGAGCGGTGCGACATCAGGGGGATAATTTACCGATATAAATAGAAGATAGATAGAACGTTATGTATTGTGCAATAATTTTATTGAGAGTGACCCCTCAAAAATTTTATGCTGCGACCGCGACCGCGACAGCTTGTATGCAAGGTCTAACGAATAGCAGAATCATGTGAGACTGAGACTTGGTGCTACATAATATAAATAACATTCTATATCTCTTTACAGTGTCCTTTCGAATGGCAGAAGACGCTGTTAGCTCATGAGGAAGGTACCTGGAAGGTGCAGACAGCTAGACGTTCAACTTGGCGAGTGTATGCTGACCTCACAGAACAATATGTTAGCGCGGGAAATACCTCGTAAGTATTCTGATTATAATAGTATTTTGCTTAAACGAACCTACGTTTAACACTGAGATAAATGAACAATTACTACAACGATACCTGGTTAGTAAGACATAGATAAAACTAAAATAAAAACATCTTACGTGAAGGTTTATTTATTCCTATTTAAGCCAACCCTAACCAATGCGCATACAAATACTCTAAAAATACTCCTTTTTAAGTTTAACTTTCATATTTCACCAAAAATAATTTAGTTGCAAATTTTATCGCACTAATGTAAGTATCTTGTAAAAAACTACGCACAAATGACGATGCATACAATTGGCAGTCGTTTTCTCGCAATCGTTAACTTTCCACCATTACGAACTAAAAGGTAATTTTAGTCAACGGCTATTAGTCAGTTAAAAGGTTGAATTCTTATTTAACTATTTATTTATACCCACGCACGTACGAGGATCTTTAGCTAACGAGAACTGCTTGTAAAGTAGAACCCCAGAGTAAAGTAATAAGTAAGAGAGTAAAAGCCACGATCGGTTAATAGTCTTTTTTCAAATGGATTCGTGTCGATGATTGCCGATACCATGATCAGTTTACATTTTCATCTTCGCATAGACAGGCAAAGACAAACAATCTCAGTGCTGGTTCTCCTCTTTCTGTCATCGATTACCTTTTTACTTTTGTTTCGTTTATGGCCAATGATCAATTAACCTTGATGGAACTTTTTTGTAATATCTAACTATGCATAGCCATACGATATACACCTCAAAATATAATAACGTTCATTCTTTCAAAAACTTATTTATTGTTAAACTCTAGACGTGAAATATAGTAATAGAGGTATCCATCCGTGTGGTAACGGATTAAGAATACGGAGTGTCTCCACCCCTATTCATGCCGTGGGTGTCGTAACAATCGACTAAGAGAGTAAACTACGCACGACAACAGCGCTATAAAGAGAGGGGAAATTTGACACAACACACACAACACAACCTGTCTGGCCAGCGTGGTATAGTAGACCAAAACCTCCTATCTTAGGAGAGGTCTGTGTCCAACAGTGGGCTATTAAAGGCTGTTGATGATATAGTTAATATAGTTCGGCCTTTAAGTTACGTAATACATTTTTCCATAAACATTTTCAATGGTCTAGTAGGTGATGCACATCTCTCACTAAATATATACCATTATATTATAGTATTATTTTCGCATACGCACATTGTTATTCAAAGCGGGTTTAGCTTAAAAAAGAAAGTATGACTCTATAACGCCTTGGAGATTTATGACGAAATTAACGAGAATTATGCGATTAGTGTCATGGTCTGACAAATGTTTACTTTTTCTTTGGGCATCGGACTATACTAAGTTAAATTGATCGATTGTCGTCGTAACTTAAACTATTTAACTATGTGTTTGTATTTAACTAGTGTATTATTAATGAACGAAATTTAAAGAAACAGCTTGTCAGCACCTATCAGTTTTACAAACAGACAAAGCGATTCGTTATTTTTACGAAACCTAATATTACCGTTACCAAACATTCCTTAATACTCAAATACAAGCGGATTTTTTCTGTATTATGCAAGCGGATATAATTATACCACACAAATTAAAGCAAATTTGTACAAGGGTTATCAAATTAGTCTATCAGAATAATTTAATTGCAGTGAAGTAGGAACGATGTTAGTTTAATAATAGTAATAGATTTTTCGCATAGTTAGTTTAATGACCAACTGTGCGAAAAACCTATGAGAAGGATCTAAGAATATTAATGTGGAAATCACCAGGATTTAACGGCAAGAGCTTAGGTACACCAACTTCAGACTTAACTTTAGACAGATTGCCCAGGGAAAAATGAAAATTTTCGCTTTTAGGATTATGTGTTCACTATGTTAGTATTCAGTAGTAGTTTAATATTCAGATTTCGTCTCGTTTTTTAACTGATAATATAAATCTTAGATTATCATCATCATTAGGCTATCGCAGTCTACTGCCGGACATCGATCCTCTGATTACACGCCACTTCGATAGATTTTCGGCTTCCCATAAATCTTGGTTGCTAGTCATTATTTACTAGTGACATCTGTATTTTTTTGTTTTAACGAACCCACATTTAAACTGATTGGACTCACAACAAAAAAAATCCAAAATTGGTTCATCTTATTTTGTTCATCTTATATGTGTATAACGGCATAAGAGTTTTAAACAGTAGAGTAGTACAGTTTATAAACAGAGTTTCAGATAGCTAAAATACTTAACAGAAGCTGGCTTGTAGTCACATGTACTTATGTCTTTATTTTGTTAGCAAGGTACTGTTAAATCTCACACATCTAGCATTTATGTGTTTTGGTATAATATGGTGTTAATCAACCCTTGACATCGCGACCGCTGCGTCTGCTAACGGTCGTTGACTTCTTCTTAAACTTTTTATCTTAATGATTTTAGTATTCATTAAGATAGCATTTTAGGAAGTCTCAGTTCATGAACCCGTTCAAAGGACGGTTGGAAAAACCGCCCGTTAAAAAGGGCTCATTACTTTTTTTACAATCTTTTCAGTAGGTACATATTTCAAGGGTTTTAGAACCTTTAGAACATTTCGCTCGAATTTGATTTTTTTTTTAATTTCAAACCAACTTTTCAGCAGATCCTTGCTACTTGGACCAGTTCCATTTTGTTCGTAGGCCTTTATTTTTGACGAAATTGGAAAGATTGCCATTTATATACCCTTGACCTAAGCAGAAAAGAAAATCCTAAACAATGTATAATTGTTCTGCAATTATTTGCGTGTAGCGTAGGACTTAATAACAGGAAATAAATAATTACATATGTACTACTGAGGTTTGATTCATGTGCCATTAGTCCATTACTATGTGCCAACAGTCTCAGAAGACCATCAAAATAATAATGATTTCGCAATCAATCTAGAATTAAACTGTTTTCCAAAAAAAAGGAACGGGCGGTTCCTTTGGAAGATAATTACATTTCACACAAAAAAAATATATAATAGTAAGACGTTTCTTTTTCTTCTCTGCTGCACAAAGTTACATAAGTTAATATATTAATTATAAATATAATTTATTATTCAAAATTAAGGCTTACCTAATTAATTCATTGTACGTAAAGTAGGTGTGATCTCAATGTAGTAATTATAAAATTTTAATAAGAAAAAAAAGTGAAATTGAAATTACGGATACGGACGGATACGGATATAAATTACGGACCTATTTTCAACTTAAAACTTTTCTGTGGACAGTATTAAACATGTTGATATCGTACACTGCTGAAAACTATTTTGCAATTTTATCTTTAAAAATTAAGGGGTTTCCAAGGATCAAATCAATCTGCATCCCAAATATTCTAATCATTTACTAGAGAACTATTCATATTGATTCTGTTATTATATGTTTTTTTTGGTGACGGAACGGAAAATCCCTTTCGGATCTCTGGCTCCTTGGGAATACAAGTGCCAGGAGTGTATGGTGTTTTCACTAAAACACTATCTCGACGGCAAGCCTTAGGCGCCCTACTCTAGGGAGGACCCGGGCCATGGGATTTCAGGTCCCCCCAGATCGACGCCGCACCCAACTGGGCTCTATCCTCTGTTATTATACCTATCTAAGATTTAACTAAATAACGTTATAATTGTAAACGCGTAGAGAGTAAACGTTAAAGCACAAGAGGAAAAGAAATGCATTTTTTTTTTACTCAACCGATCGTCATAAAATATACTGAATATGCGTTGCAGTGACAAGTAATAAAAAAATATAAATTTTATATTTTAAGTACAAGTCAGATTCACTCAGGTTTATTTAGGTACATTCGGCAACCGTACCTACTTTTTTTGGATGAATAGTACCCTATGTAGTTTTAATTAAATTACCTTGACAGAGCAATTTGTATGCATACTGATCTGTTGAGTTCGTACGTGTAAGAGTCACAGATTTTTTACTTTTACTCTATGCATATTTGCATTTATAACGTTATTTAGTTTTATTCATCAAGTTAAAAGTCTGAGATGTATTCATATATTTTTGTGTCTACAGAGGACTGTTATGCCAGCTGCGACCTCAGATGGGCGAGTTTGGCGTATACAAGCTGAATGTGACGTTGGACGGGTGTGATGTACGCACTACTAAAGAACCTGTTGATATTTATATGCGTAAGTTCATTTTATATTCATTAGACACGCCTACCAATGAGACATGGGTCTGTTGTCAACATTTAAGGTTATTAGCTTACGGTTACAAGTAGAACGGGAACTAAAGTATCCAAAAGATACTGTAAGCCTCTTCAGACAATCATCGTTATCATCAACAACCTCTAATCAAAATAGGTTTTGGTCTACTATAACACGCTAGCAAGATCGGTATAGGGTTAGTTTCAAGTTTTCCTTCTCTTTGCAGTGCTGTTGTCCTGCAGAGTTTTTAAGCCCTGACCAAAATTAAAAAGAAATTAAAACAATAAACAAAAGCTCCGATTTTACCACAAGGACTATTGTTCCACGAGGATCTTTTGCAGGGCAAATAGGAAGTTTAGGTTATATATCTATCTAAAATAGAATATTAGATCATATTTTTTTACTTTCCATTCACCTCTTTTTAATTTCATGGTTTTGCTGTTTACAACTGGTTATAACAACAACATGTGTAATATCAATACTGATCGAATCACTCCTTAGTTGGAATACGATTGTTGACACCATCACAATGCCAAACAAAGAAACTTACAAGAAATATTGTGGTATTTATGGTGAGAAGGGTTACCAGATCTCCACGATAGAAATACGATATAAACGTGTGAAGGGCACAATTAAGGCGTAACCTTAAGGTGTTTAAAGAACCGCTTTCCATGAAGCAGGTTTTGGGTCAATTTGACAACTTAGTAATATGGTATAAGCCTTATTACTTTGTGGACCCTGAAGAATACCCAAAGCGAAAAGCGAGCGCTTTAAGCTATCAAACCTTAATGAGAGATCAAGTCTAACCTTGACTGTATACGTACACATGTCTGTCTCAGACGGTCTACACTCACTATGGCCGCCACTTACTCAGACACAAAAAGTAAACTCAAATGGTTTATTTTAGATTGGTTTATGATTCACATAATTATAGCGACGCATTTTATACTTGACATTCGTTATGGACAGGATGATGGGCTTAGGTTGTCCACAGGAAACACGCTAAGAAAGTGACAAATACATAAAAACTTGTAAAACGATATAAATTCGTGCCTTCTTATGGTGATTAGACAGGAAAGAAAACTAGTTACAGCGCGTATAAAACATAGTGGTTGTAAAAATGCATACCTCGATATCATATAACAAAATAGCTTGATAAAGCGAGGCAGCACGTTCATATGTTTGTGAAAAGTCATTTAAATTCATGACAGTTCTAAAAATAGCTAATATTATAAATGAAAACATAACTTTATTTACTATTTTGTTTGTTTGTTACGCGTTCTCGCCTTTACAGTTAGATCGATCGATCAATGATCGTCAATTTGATCGAATCGGTAGGGTGGTAGAGTTGTAACTTCACTACTCATAACGAAATATACTGATCGAAATTGCGTAAGTCATGGTTTTTATTTATTTATTAAAAGTCAGTCCACAATTGACGGAGAAATCGCGTAACAAACATAACATCTCTTTTGTGTTTTTGGAATTGGTTTTAAAGGACTTAAGATACCTTTCATCGAGAATTGTTCCCAGAGGAAAGAAGACCTGGATTAATAAACGTGTGCCACAAGAAAAAAAAACAGTTCTATATGAAGTTGAAATTAAATGAACTTTAAATGAACAATAAAAAAAGTCAGTCACCTCTAAGATATAAAGAATTTTCTTTAATAGTGAATGTGTTCGTGTTTCGTGAAAACCCTTAAGAATACCTTTTTTACCTATTAGTTAATGTTAACCGTCTGTTACCCAGTTACCCACTGTGAACCAGTTATCGGATACTACATTGAGCCACGATTTACTACGTTTATCGTTCCTGTATCGTTGATTAATGCTAATGTTAGTTCTATGTTTACTGTCATCATCAGCCTTTAATAGTCCACTGCTGGACATAGGCCTCTCCTAAGAAAGGAGGTTTTGGCCAGCGGATGAATTGGGGTAGTGACATTCCGTATTCTTAATCCGTCACTACACGGACAAGCTGGTAGGTATACCAGCTAATTCCCTCTATGGGGCACCTCACACCTACTTCCACGGCATATATTTCCACGATATAACCATTTTTAGTTATTTCTAAAAGGCAGGAGACCAATCATATAAGAGTGTGCGTCATTTCAAAGCTGGTGGGATACAAAATTCTCCTAGAGTCAATCATTTCTAGGTTCATTGCGTGCACCTTGTAGGTCTCGTTTTCATCTTGTTGTAGGAAAGATTTTGTTATCTCTTTGTCGGTTTGTCTTCTAGCATTTCGCAATCCAACTTTACTGGACTGCGTACCTACCATAAATTTCATGTCGATTGGAGGCGTGACTCGAGCTATGGTTATAATAGAAAAAAATGGATAAGTAATCATCAACTTAGTCGGTATATGTGGTTTCACAAGTAAAGTATGTAGTAACAAACTTTTTAAATTTAGATACAAATTAAATTCTAAATGGTTAATAAAACAAATAACTGTTTTATTTACACTACATAAATTATTCGAATGCGTCTATTTATGACAATAACGACGTAAAATATGACAGTCGCTCAGTTTATAGCGTGTTATGTAAAAGGCTCTTGGCTTAGTTTTGGTTATTACAAGATAATTATATACCTAGTACCTACTGAATAATACGATGTTTTTTTTAATTATTGCTTGCAGATTTATGTCGTGTATTATCCCTTTCTCTTTTTTTGTGATATTATTTGAAGCGAGAAAAACGAAATTAAGTAAAGATTTGCAATTGGATAAAACCATATTAACCATGATACATATCAAGAAAGTCGCAATAGGGACTGCTGAATGCTTTAGACATTACAATATAGTAATAGTTGAAAAAAAATATGTCTGATACTCAGCTTTCATACTCTTCATTGCACTCCTCGATTTACCAATCTAATAGTAAATTAAATTTTTTATCGATCTTATGATATACCCATTTGGTTGGGTCTACCCTTTATAGCAGAACTTTTTATGTCATAATATTTTGTAAGTCATAACCATCAGTGTCCGTGTGATGACGGATTAAGAATACAGAGTGTCACCACACCTATTCATCCCGTAGGTGTCGTAAGAGCCGACTAAGGGAAAAAACTACGCAGAACAACAGCAGAGAGAATAAAAACTTGACAGCAACCCTATATCAACCCGTCTGGCCAGCGTGGTATAGTAGGCCAAAACCTCCTTTCTAAGGAGAGGCTTATGTCCAGCAGTGGACCATTAAAGGCTGTTGATGAATCATCTTTAGGCATAATCTTCATATCCATAATAATTAAAAAGTAGAACCATCATATCACCGAAAGTTCATAGTCAGAATCGTCTTTAAGCACAAATTCCATATCGCTAGTCATTAAAAGGTTTTTGATTATTGTTTTTTTTTTAAATGGTTTAAAATCTACAAACCATGATATAACTTCTGGGGCACCACAAGGCTCCCATTTGTATCCGATCTTGTTTATTCATCAATGATCTACCATAATGTTTGCATCATTCGAAATGTTTTCTGAACGCTGATGACCTGAGGTTTGCCAGAACAATAGAAAGTTTAAATGACACGGAGCTCTTGCGGGATGATTTAAATAGGGTAATTGAATGGTCTAGAAACAACAAAATGGAACTGAATACCAGCAAATGTTACCATATAAAGTTTACTAGAAAGATTTACAATATTTCATCAGAATATTACCTATATTTTTTTATATCATCAACTAGGATTATTTTAAGACTAGCAAAACAAAGATTGTGTTGTACAATAGTCTTGTGCGGAGTCATCTTGGAGTACTGTAGTGTTGTATGGCGACCTCACTATGCTGTACATATGTTGCGACTGAAGAGCGTTCAGAAACGTTTTCTTTGGCACCTTGCATTCTGCGAGGGGAAAATACAGGTGTCGTCGTACAACTCACGTCTGCAGTACTTCAGGATGTAACCGCGGTGCGGAAGGCGATTGCGGATGCATTGTTTGGATTTACCATAACTTCTGCGTAATCAAATTAGTTGCCCTCGCTTGCTTGATTCGATTTGATTTTGGGCTCCATCTAGATACCCTAGAAACACTCTTACGTCCTTATACCCACCCTTACATTGAACAGTTTTGGGTGCTAACTTGCCAGTTCCCAGACTTTGGAAAGTAATTTAACGGCTCCAGTGACATAGTAGATATTTATAACGATAACCCTGGTAAATTATACAGTACTATTGTCAACTTTTATAGTAAGATGGGTAATTTATAAATTGAATGTATTGATGAAATTGTATTACATTCATTTTATTTATTCATGGTACTAAGTTGCTAAATTTGTTATTGTCAGTATAAAAAAATGTTCTAATCATTTCTCTAATTTAATAATCTCTAATTTTTATTTCATATTTAAACTGTAAACCTACTAGGCACTTCACAATATTCTAAGCATGCGGTGTTAACCTTTAATTAATTGTTACACTTATGTTAGTAATAATTTTGTTAATAATTACGGTGCGGTGTAAACAATTGTTGGTTTACCATAAATAAATATACATAAAAAATCTATAATAATTGAAAGGCCATCAATCCATCATTTTGTATTTCTTACCATAATAATAAAGCCAGCAAGCATGCAGCATGCAAGCAGGAATGCAGCATGCAGCATATCTGTCACGGCTCCGGCGCTGCGGGGCTCCGGCGGTCCCACGCGAGCTTATCGTCGCAGATGAATTCAGCCCTCACCACCGCACCTTAGGCTTTCTATACTGCTTCTTTATGTTATCTGTCAAGGACAATTACTTAATGGCATACGATTGACCCAAAAGCGAAAATTACTGTAGGTTATAATGATATGAACGTAGTTGATAAAGAGCGTCAGATATTGTACGAAGTAAGGTTCTAGTGTTCACTTGCATTTTTGTTTTTGTTGTTTATTGGGCATCGTTTATAGTACATGACTATGATGAAATGCACTTTGATAAACCTGAATACGGTTAAATAAACTATTCTTCACAACATAATATTCCACTCTTTAAGTTAGAATATTGTCTTCAAATTTAAATGGAAGCCAAGATGACTACAACTTATTCAATTACGAAAAAATATTCTTGAAATCGGTTAAGATATAGTCA